TGTATAAAACATTTTTTTATATCTTCAATAGTTTTCGAGATATAACAAAAAAAAATATTTATATATAAGGGGTGGTTTCATCCCTTTAAACCGTTTTTTAGCCCCAACTGATAATTTCTAAATTCATCTATTTATGTGACCTCAAAGTGTACGAAATTTCATTAGAATCAGAATTTGACACTTCGCAAGGTTCCCTTGTTAATCAAAAAATATTTTATCTGTGTTTTGGAAAGCTCTCAAGATAAACTACAAGAATATGCAATCAAAAATAGGAATTTCATTTAAAAATTTGAAATGACCTTTCCCTGACCTTGACAGCGTCACCCAAAGTCAAACCAATGATACCACTTTATGTTCTCCTTGAAGTTAAACAACTTTTATATAAAACTTTTTCTTGTATCTCTCTTATCTGAGATATCCGCCTATAGAGATTAAAATGCCCCATCCGGCATGTATAAAGAAAATATTTTTTTAATTAATATTATTTTTAATTCTATCAGATATAATACATAAACTTATTTTAGCAATATGAATAGGTTATTAAAAATATACATTTTTGGTAAAAATATTATAATTAATTTTTTAAATTTCTGTTTAACTGTAAGCTAAGAATGAAAATAAAGGAACCATTCTCTGAATTCAATGTATAAAATATTAATGTTATATCAGATTAGTAGTAGATTTAATTAAATATTTCAGTAGACTCGATTAGATATCTCACTTTTCGTTCAGATAGTCCAACAACGGATTGGTAACATAAATTAAGCATAACTATTTCATAAAATATTTATGATTAAACATTCACAAGAGATTTTTTTCGATTTTTACCGCCAATCTGCTGTTGTATTCCATTAGATTACGCTAACATTCTGTCGACAAAATTTATAGCATTTTGCAAAATATTTCCAACAGGTTTGATTATAAAATAGAATAATCTTTTGTAATATTCAGTTAATCATTAACTTTATTCTAAAGAACTGATGGATGATAGAAAATGTAAAATAAATTTGGAAATGTGCATATAAATGTTCATATATGTATATACTTATGCTTTCATCGCAAACATTAGATGTCACATATTACAACTGTTTAAGAGGGAATATAATATACTTAGGTGTGGTAAAGTTCATGAACATTTTTTCTGGATTCCTCGGCTGACTTATTGGAACAAATTGTTTTGCATAGCTTGCATAATCCGTTCCACATAAAGCTAACTCTAGCTCCTGTATATTCTCATTTGACAGCAAATTTATAACACCTGGAGGTATCCCAGCTGCCGAAAATATGTTATAATATGGTGCTAGATTACAGGAATTTGTATTGTTTATCACAATAACAGAATTGCCAGCAGTTAAAATTTGTATCATTCGAGTAAATAAAGGAAATTCATCCTTTTTCAAGGGAATTTCTTCCTCTTTCAAAATGATAATGCCCTTTGGATTAGGAATTTTCGTTACTTCTAATTCTTCACTTTGTGAGCAGAATAAAGAATTTTCATAGAAAGACATTTTTATCCAGGTTAATATTAAAGTTGCCAAATCAGATTTACTAAAAAAAGAACAAAAGAAAACCAATCGTTAAAAAGTTATGATTGATTACATACAGAAATACAAACTCGAGCACGTATTCAAATAACATGCTTTTAAGCATAATTAAAATTAATAAATTATTAAAATTACGTATATATAACATAAACTATATGCTTAAAAATGTTTTTATCGATAAAATAATGCGTTCTGAATACGGAGCTAAGATTACAAAAATATATATATATATAAATGTTCTAATAACTTTAATATATAATATATACCCGTTACATTCTATTATGGATGCAAATTTGGACAATATTTGCATTCTACAAGTAACAGACTTAGCACTCCAAATTTTGAATCCTTTTTTGGCTGAACTGATGCATCTATTAACATCTTCACTACAATAATAATATGAATAAAAAATTTCAGACATAAATTTTATGAAACATAAATTTGAAATAATTATAATTAAAATAAAGAAAATGTGCACCTTGTTGCATTTGCCATCTGACAATTATTATGTATCCAATATGTAGCTTTTATAGGCTGTTGCCACATACCATCATAAAATAAATTGTAAACTAGATGTTTATGCATACTCAGTGTCTTTTTACAATCATCGAGATTAGAGTTGCACCATTTATGCAATGTTTTATCAAATATTTTTATATATGGCAAAAGTATAATACCGCCGTAGAAGTCCATGTACGAATTTATAAATACAACATCTCTCTAAATAAACAAAAACAGAAATAAGATTAGTAATAATTAAAAAAATTGTCCAAATAAATCATGTTATACAATTAAAATACTGTACATTTAAAGACATTGCTAAGTTTTTGGCAAATACAATATCTTCTGTCCATATGGATATAATGTTTATTTTTTTAGATGTACCAGCCTTTGTAAATAATTCTTTTTTCTTTCGAAATGTATAAATGGGATAATCTATCAAATCTTCCAGATATTCCTTCATAAGCCACAAAAATTTTTCTTTTATTGGTTCTTGGACCCAAATTTTATTTAAAAACGACAGAACATATTTTTTATTCCTAAAGTAACTAATGACCGCATACAAATCTGAATCCGCTAGAACTATTATTTCATTGTTGTGATCTGTACAAAATATTTAAATCTTGATTTATGAGAAAAACAATTTTCTATTACATTAATAATATATTTTTCTTACTTGTAGCTCCACTAAACAACAAATATGTATATTGAAATGATTTGTCCAGTACAGATTTTTTGCTAAAATATAAAAACAATTGTTTCTAAAATTCATAACAATATAATTTGAATATAAGAATTATAAGTAACAAATAAGTTAAAATTCAGATATAAGAAATATTTAAGAATAAACATAGTAGTACAAGAGTAATTAAGAGAATATAATCTTTAACATTTACATGATGACATTTTCCAAAAACAGCTGTATTGTATGTCCTTTACGTATATTATATATATTCAGCAGCGTAAATATTACTGACAAAACTATGTCATCTTCCTTATATTCTTTGTCTAAAAAAAAAAATCAAAAAATGTTTAAAACATAAACAAAATCGCTATGTTCCTGTATGTTATTATTCCTAAACAAAATAAAATTTGTGTAACAGGAATAACAAAATATCTTTTTCAATTGTGATTACAAAGATATTATTACCATATTTGTCAAGTGTAAACTTCATACCAATATTACTTAAGTATTCAATAATAGTGGTAATTGTATCTACATGATCACAAGCAGATTGGAAAAGAGACAAATTTTTCTTTATTACAGAGGCTGCTTTAAGAAATCTGTAAATACATAATTAAAACAAAAAGATTGAACATTTTTATTTCACATTATATTACTTATACTTCAGAAGTACATTTATTTACCTTTCTGAGAAATTATTAACATCTGCAAATTCTATTTTCTCAGACAGAGCTAGTATTAATGCTTTCTAAAAGTGGAAAGAAGCGTTATACGTTTTACAAATGAATTTATGGTGTTTGTTTATTAACTTCCATAAATTATTTATTAATAACATTCATGTAATTAATACATATATTTTATGTTATACTCACTTTATCGTTGTTCTCATATTCTAAATTAGTATAATATTCGTCTATAATCTTTAATTCTCCCATAATTGATTGTTATAACCAATTACTCTTAAAAAATTAAAGACGTATGCGACTGCAATTGCATTAGTCAAAACAACGGTAAAGACAAATAAAAAAATTACGTTGTTAAAGAATATCTCAATACAACGCAATAAACCAAGAACGCGGCAAGAAACCTTGTAACCGATAAATGCAATATATGACTGTTAATATTTTATAGAACCGTTCTACAATTCATCGTATGTTTCAGTGTTGTAAGCCATAAAAGGCGCGTTCATTCTCATACGGATCCAAATTCCAAGTGTTCCTCACTCTCAGCAGTCAGCCCTCAGGAGTCTCAGGCACAGTATAATGCAATATAACCAGTAGGTATGGTAACAGAGAGGATCCAGAGAGCGGCCATGCCTGCGATTTAGCTGGGACCGGCGATGTGCTGGTTTCAGCGCCTCTGGAAAGTGGACATTGAACTACTAACTAGATAGACCAATGAGAAGCACGCTTTCCGTCCAACGCGTGCTTCTCATTGGTCTCTCTAGTTGGTAGTTCAATGTCCACTTTCCA